TTTATTTTTTATGCTTCCTTTTAAAAATTTGTATGCCTCTTTGATCTTTGGCTTATTACCGTGTCATGTTAAGCGTTGAAAACTTGGCGCAACAAAAACAACGAGAACCTCTACAACAACAACAGTAAATATACAACTTCGTCGGACAGCATAGCATCTTTGAAGCAATAAAACAAGCAGAAAAAAGTTATATACAAAAGACAATGACAACGACAACGCCAAAACACAGACACAAACAAGTGTATTCGTGACAGTTGTCGGTCGAGTTTTGCGTCGGCAGCAGCAGAGACAACAACAGCGCCAGCAGCGACAAGGCAGAGTTGCTGGCGCTGCGATACGCTCACTCGAAAAGTCAAAGGGGCGGATATTTTGCCTCACTTTGAAATTTGTTTTCATTTTCTTTTTGTTTTTATTCTTTTTTATTTGATATGCTTATTTTTGCTTTTGCTTGAGTTCAGTTTGCTGACGAAACTGGCGTAACCAACACAAAAAACAAGAAGTAAGTTGAGAGCTTCCATGTTACTCTATGCTTCCGAGACAGAGGCGTCCCCAGTGAAAATTATTTATCCAAATTCGATCTTTGATCAATGATCTATTAAGAAAAAATTTAATCGAATGAACTACATACATACATACATAGATCTTATTCTTCTTATTTGACAGATGCGGCCGGTTGGGGCCGAGACAAAAAGTTTCTCCAACTGCCTCTCTCCTATGCGTATTTGTGCCAGTTGCTCAACCCGAGTACAGACAGGTCCTTCAACATTTCGTCCTTCCATTTTTTTCTTGGGCGCCCTTACATTTGTGGTCCACCCATGGGTGCGAAGTTGAATGATCTTTTAACCGGAGCGTTCATAGATATGCATCTTTATTTCTATAAAAAAAGACTTGCTGATATTTCTATTTACATATTCGAGTATTCGGTGGCATGTTATAATTTTAATTATATCTTAAAATATGTAAGCGTATATTAAACCTATTCTGCAAAATACGAGACTAGACAAAAATCAAATGAGAGAAGAGATCAAATCCTTGAACATTTATGAGCAAAATTAAAAGTCCAGAAGTATTTAGTTTTCCTACCAAATAGTATATCTATACAAAACTTTCAAAAGTAAAAATATCCAAGCGAACTATGGACTATAAAATCAGGAAGCTCACAAAACGAGATACCAGCCACTATTATTAAGTATAAACAGTCGAAATAGGTTGTTCAAAGATGCCAAAACAATGTGGTCAGCTGATTAAATAAACTGACATTTTTACCAGTTTCGAAAACTTTTCTTTTGTTCATTTAATGTTTATTATTTCTTTGTATAAAAGTCTACAACATTACATAATTTTTGGTTGTATTTGCTAAAGTTTGTTGAATTTTTATAATTTTTGTACACAGTTTGAAATGTGGATTTATCCGGTGCTGCTTGTGTAGTATATCTAGGCCTAAAAAAAATTATAAACATTCCATAAGCTAAAGAAAAAAATTGCCAAAAAAATAGCCCAAAAAAATATTATAGGAAATAAGTCAACATATTTTCGATATGAAAATTTTAATGCAGTTCGGTTCGATTAGAGCTCAGTTGAACTGTATCAAATTTGTGATATCGGAAAAATGCTGACTTATTCCCTTTGGTAATTAGCCGTGTAAAATGCAATACTAATTTTTTTTAGACTAAAATGCTAAATCTTACGATTTGGAGGAAAATAACACGCACATTTGCTTTATTTCTAAAGCTGCACTTTCTTACTGTTCAAAAGAAATAACATAAGCATATATAATAACTGCATACTGAAAGCCTCCATTCTACCTGAATTTTATACAACAAAAACTGACTTTAGGCAACTTACTGAAACTTACTTAAATAATTGAATATTTTAATGTAGGTGGCAACTTTCTCATTTTGAAGTCTAAACATAGATACATATAAATAATTGGCATTCATTCACACCGAGCATTTCTTTAATAAATACATATATGAATGAAAAGAAATACATCTACGCTGTTCCCCATTCAAGCACAGCCCCAACGACGCCACTGCCATGGAGAGTAACAAGCAAGGCAACCAACACGACTGACAGTACGCAGCGCATTTGACATTTTACCTTGGAAAACGACTATGAAAATACAAGCCACAAGTCACAACAACAACATAAACAACAACAACATAAACAACAACAAACAAGAATCACAAAAATAAAAATGCCGCCCCAAGCAGCAACAACCAGCAGAAATGTATCTATGCAGCTAAGAAAATAAAAAAAGCAAGCGCATGGTGTCAACAAAACAATAACAACAAATGGCTATTGATAAGCTGAAGCTAAGAATAATAAAAAACAACAACAAGTGTAAATACAAAAGCAACCAGTTGAGAATTGTAAGAGAAGCGCAAATAAAAGTCCAAAGAAAAGGCAAAACAAAAGCAAAAACGCAGGCGAAAACTTGTTGTAGCTGCAAGGAAGAAATAAAAGTAAAAAAAAGAAACGCATGCACACACACACACACACACACAAAATCCGCAGTCAACTGCACAAACAAAACCAACAAACGTTGTATACAACAACACGTGCGCGTAGCGCCTGCCGACAATAAGAAGCGCAAAGAGCAAAATGTCACTTTGAAAAATGCCATTGGTTCGACAAACTCCGACAGGAGACCGCGCGCGCAACCTCACACACACACACGCACTCACACGCATATGCGGGGCTGCACAACGGAGCAAGTAATCATAAAAACAACAACCATGCAAGCAATCACCAACAACAACACAGCCAAAAGCCTCGTGCCGCCTTTCAATGCTTATGCTGAGCGAAACCAGTTGCTTAGCAACGCCCTCCAACCACATAAAACGCGCTCGCTCCAAAGCTCAGCTCACTCAACGGCCACGAGTATATCTCTATAGTTGGGTGCCAGGCTCTTTTCGTATTGTCATTGAAATACTCACGGCACGGTGCGCTGCACTAGCTCCTTTTGGATATATGTATGTATTTTTGTGGTACCCTTTGCTATTTTTTTTTTGTTTTTGTTTTTGTTAAACGCCACAGGCGACGGGGCTGTCGTTAGCACTCGCGCTCCATGCCGGCAAAACACTACCCAAATATGTCAGCAACAGACTCCATTGCGATTTTTGTGCGAGTGAGAGTGCAATACCAATTGGCTGGTGTAGAGTAGCGCCATCTCGCGCGCACTCGCACTTCGCTTGCTTTGTAGAGAGAGCTCACTTACAACTTAACGGCTGCTCACTCAATGATGGAGGGGAAATTCCGTTACTTAGCGCGCGCTCTTTTGCGCGCATAGAGAAAGATACGCCCAGTTGGGCGCAGTATATGCGAGCGTGCTCAAGCGCATTGATGAGTGAGTACGGCTTGTTGAGCGCAACGAGAGCGGCGTTGAGGCGCTTATGTTTTTGTTGGCATTTGGGGTGGCGCGTTTGTATGCGCTTGCACGAGGAGGTTGGCAAACCGGTTGCGAGTTGTTGCTCTTTATTACCTGCAGCAGCTGTTCGATTGCTGTATTCTTTGTTTTTGCTTCTTATTGCCTACTGGTTGGTGGTGGTTGGTGCGCTCATCTTGCGGTGCTGCAGGTTTGTTGGTGTACGCGAGCGCGCATGTGTAAGTGTGTGTGTGTGCGCGCTCATACTGCGTCCGCATCGTGCTTTGTTTCGGTCGATGGTCGTGGCCGCTGTGACCGGCGCTGCCGCTTCGAATATGCTCCGTGCGGCAAACGCTTCAGTTTCATTTCGACGTTCGCGTTGTACGCTCGTTGGTCTGGTTTGGCGTGTGCCTGATGCTGATTATTGACGTGCGCCACCAAACGATTTTCTCAAATACGGTACGTTGAGTCGCGCAAAATATATACAAAGCTTTCGGCTGCTTGGAATAATACCGCGCGCGTTTGATATAAGGTGAAGAAGAAGCAGCAGCAAATTGAAAAGTGAAAAGTAAAGTAAATACATATTTATTCGATTATTTTGCTACAAGAAAAGTGCAGCCATATTTTAAGCACAAAGCGTTGGCGCTGAGCCAGTAACAGCTGTCTGTCAATGCCACTGTTGGCCGCCACTGACAGTTGACATTACCTGCAGTTGAACCGCGCGCGGTTGCATTGACGTGGCAAAAAAGAACAAATAAAATAAAAATAAAAACAGAATGCTAAAAAAGTTTTGAAAGAAATATTTATGCTTAATTTAAAAAAGAAACAGATTTTATAAAAAAAAAGCGTGAAATACTAAGAAGCAAGTGCTTTGATGTGACAGCGTGTATAATTTGAAAATTGTGGAAAATTTGGCCAATTCAATGTTCAAATGTAATTGAAACGCCGAAAAAAAGCAAACACAAGCGATATTTATTTTTAGAAAATAAATTTGAGAAAAAAGTATATCCCTACTTTACAAAAATTTGAGAGGTCTCAGCAAATATAGGAAAAATCTGCTTTTAATGTTTTTGCACAGCGCCGCGCGTTCAGTTAATTTCTCAACGCCCAACGCCAACGCTTACATTCAAGCGCCATCCTTTTAGCCCAGTGTTGCACATTTCCAAAGTCAAAACGCAAGCTTCCTTCAACGCGCGCGCCCCACCTGCCTCCGCGCTTTTATCACAGCTGTCAAGTGCCAAAAGTGAATTTCACACCGCGAAAGGGAGCCTTGAAGCCTTCAACAGACAAGACAATAGTGCGCTGTGCCACCAAAGAAGTATCGCAACAACAATCTGCCTGCTTTAAGCCTTCGCGCTCATACCAGCGTGCGCGCATATGTCTGCAGAACCATCTACGAAAGTGCAAGTGTATCAAGTGAAAATAATTAAGTGCATACATACATATATACTGCAGACGCGTATGTAAGAAAGTGTTTGCGCTCGCTCGCTCGCTAGCAAAAAGGCCTGCAGCAGCCAAAAGTCGTGTCATTAAACCCTTTTTTCACGCGAACTGCGACCAAAATACAACCGCGCCCGCGCCTACTAGAACACCGCCTCGTGCATATGCACACGCGCACTAATTAACGCTATTAAACAAAGCCGCATTCAGCGCGTGCATGCTACATATTATCATATTGTTAGTGTTTGTGTGTGGGTATATGTGTGTGTGTAGTAACAAGTCTTCTTTTGCCTAACTGTGTATCTGTGTTCTTTGTTTTTCGGGTTCGGTTCCAGTGAAAGCTGTTGCTTCAACACTCTATTTGTTCTTGTTATTATTAACCGTAGTATAAGTGAGCTGTTGTGCGCGCCCGACCAACTTCGGCCGGCCAGCTAGACAGCCAGACAGATAACGCGTCAGTCAGTTACTTAGTTTGGCAGCGCGCCTACCTCCACAGCTTCCTCCAATACACGCACACGCTATCCTACCCAGTTACTTACTTACTTAATTAGCGGCGTTTGCTGGGTTCATCGCCTAAAAGTAGGCTAATAATTGTGTGCATTTACGTGCATTAGCGCGTCAACGCGCGCACGCTTACGCGGCGGACGCGCCAAGGGCCACGCACACAAACGTTGAGCCGTCGCCTCAACGAAATTCATTACAATTCGCGTGCGCTCCAACTGCTGCGCCTACATACATACGTACATATGTAAGTGTCAAAATGTGTAGTGTGTGAGTTTCTTAGTTTTCAAAGTGTTTAAGTGCATTGCCGACGGCTACAATTAAAGCAACGGCAGTTAAGCTTAGCATAACGAGGACGACGACGGCTGCAGAGCAAGTGACAACTGCATCACAGCAACAAAAACAACAACTAAAACAATTGGAATATCAACTACAAGAACAACAACAACAACAACAACAACAACAACAACAACAACATCAACAATCTGAAAAGCAATCGCACGGCAATTTGCCTTGCCACGGCGGCGGCGTGTTAAGCGAAAGCTACAAAATTCTAACCGAATTATCGAAAACGCCCCTTAGGGCTGTCGCGCTGGCGTCATTTCTGGGCGACGGTTTCGCCGCGCTCGGTTCAAGAACACCATCGGTTAAGGATCTAATGGCGTTCGGATCGGTTTTACATAATAATCAACATAATATCGGTGAGTAGGCGAAATTTAAACGAGAGTTTATTTGTCTCAAGGCAATATTGTGGTTGCATACAGTAGTGGGGAAAAAATATTTATGAGACTATAGCTGGTACGGATTTCACTGTTGTGAAAAAAGACGTATAGTGGAGAGAGAAAAAAATCACTTTTGCAAGTTGAAAGAGACGGAGAGGCAGTTTTTAAAAGTTTTGGTTTAGGAAGAGAATATGAAAATAGAGAAAAATTGCGTATCTACTAAAAGCAAGGTCTGAAAATTTCGGTTTTTCGTTCTTAACATTTTTTTAAATTTTTAAGTGTTCAAAATTTGAGAAACATCAATAATAGGTGTGTTTTATTTAACCATCACACGCTAATAGTTAAATCTTGGTCAAATAAAATAAAATTAGCTTATTGAGGCATGAGCTAATGAACTAGTTATCGCATTGGACTCTTTTGTGGCAAGATGAAATGCATACAATTTTAATATTTTTTGATAATTATTAATGTTTTTGTATATATAAATTTTTAAACCTTGTAGTGCCAAATTTAAGCTTTTGACTCTTTCTGATTGGCTGAAGCAGAAATCTTTCTGATACTGAATGACAATGCCTCTAGTTCAATTTACAAGCCAAGATAGTTTTTCATTATTATATGTATGTACGTACTAATGTTGGCTAGGAAATAAGCTACTAGCCTTAATTTCTGGTCAAATAAAACACGCCTAGTAATAAATTTTAATTTTCGATCTAGAAATTCAAGTTCCACTAATTTGTGACCAAAATTTTTGATAAGGGTTTGATTTACCTATGTACAAACATTAGAGTGGTGCAAATTTTGTATGGGGGAAAAATTTCATGGTAGAAATCGGGGCACCCCCCTTAGATTTTTCCTGTTGGCATTTCTAATATTTATATCAACTTTAAATTTTCTACTGTAACCTATACAGGGTGCTCAATGAACTTAAAATATGCTACCTAATGCCTTTAAGACTGACAAATATTGATGAGCTTTATAAAAAGCTAGTGTTGCCATGACAACAGAAGTTGGTAATATTTTTTCAGTTAATTCAAATTTGAAATGGGCTTAGGTTACTTAACCAATTGTTTGGTTAATATATGTGAAATGTACTACTAGAGTAAAATATAAACATTTTATGGGCATCCTCTAAGTGTATACTTAGCAACGTGAAGTTTCATGCCGGCATCTCTTTCGGCAAGAGGAAAATTTTTGGAAGGTGCCCCTAACCCTAACTACGGGAAAATTTTTTTTGGACCACTCTTATGTACAAATATTTATTCCAACAAAATTTTCAGTTTAAAAAATTCATGGAAGCTAAAGTTGGTAACCAAAAGATAACTTTCACCAAAGTTAGGTTAGGTTGGATTCCAATTGCTGTGCATATGCTCAACTTTACCGCTGCGTTTAAATTGTACGCTCTGTGCCAACTGATGCAAATTGTAAATGCCAAGTGAAGCCAAGTCCTACCCCACCTGGTCTTTCCGTCGCAGAGGAGGCCTCCGTTTTTTCTCTCCTACCACCAGCGGGTTCCCAGTTGAATACTTTCAGAGCTGGAGCATTTCTGTCCATTGACCGCGCCATGTCTATTCCATTGTAAAACTCACACAGCTCATGGTTCCTTTGTCTGCGGTATTCGCCGTCGCCATTACGTACAGGCCCGTAAATCTTCAGCAAAATTTGTATCTCGTAAAACACTAAGGGTTGCACTAAGAAAAAAGTAACATGATTTTTTCAAAAAGTGTTATTTTTGGATTTTTCATTTTAGCGATTAGAAATTTGTGAATAGAAATTCTTTTTTAAACAAACTTAAACATGGCAACATGTATGGTAGCTGTAGCTGATTGCTCTGAGATGCTTGGTACAATTGTTTGATGCCAGGAGTGTCCAGGTCCGAATCCCATTAGGCGGAACACATACTTTATATTTTTTTTTTTTTTTTTTTGTAATTACGAAAAAGGCATCTGTGAAGTGCACAACGAAATCGTGTTCAACAGAAAAAAATCTCCAAAAATAAATCTGATTAAAGTAAACAAAAGGTCGTTTGGCGCAAAATCATATCGTCGATGTTTTTGCAAAACCGCCTATATTACGGCACTCAAATTTTACAGGAGAGCGAAAAAACGGTGTTTCTTTGAAGGCATCGTCTTGATAGGCGGTATTTTCTCTAGCTATTATTTTACAAATCTGTTATTTTAATAACGATTTTACGATTCTTATGCATAAACCTCGATGCCTGGAGTTCAGGGTTAGCAATTCTCAATTTGGTCACAACGGCGATTTAGGCGGTTTTGCGACTGGTCGATGGGCGGTTTTGCAAAAACATCGACGGTATGTGTTTTAGTTTAAAAAAAACAGATATGGTTAATTTTTTTTCTTTGTGTAGTAATCCGCTTTGAGCGATGGGTGTTAATTTTCACACGTTTGTGCGCTTTCCAGCTTTTTCGTTCTTGTAGTCTTAAAGCTTAAACCGACGGCAACGTTTATCCGGATTAACTCGGACTTAATCCGGATCAACTGCAGTTAATTCCCGAGTTGATCCAGATCAACGCTGCCGTCTGTTTATGCTTTAAGTGCGGCCTTTGCGGATCTACTGCTGTAGATTAATGTAGATCTTGTTAAATTCTGTAACAGCACCGAAAACCGGGTCGAAATGGTAAAAGTCAGCCTTTGTAGCACGCAAGTAAAACGGCAGAGATGAGCGTAGAAATATGTGAGGCACATTCAAAAATATCTTCTCCAGACGGACCGGACAATTCAAAGAGCCAACAAAAACAAACGTAGCAACTGAATAATTCTTCTAGTTTAAAGAGCTTTTAGGTGAATAAGCTTACAACGGAAAAATAAGATGGCATCGGGTGATAAAAATTAAGGGAACTTAAAGCAAAACGAAACAATTTGCACTCTTTCGATTCTGATGGCACGACAGCCGTAAATAGGGTTCCATATAATAGAATCATACTCTACTTTTGATCGTACTAAAGAGATTAATAATGCTTTCCTTAAAGTGTTTCGCATATCTACGTAGGAAAGCCAGGTTACTGTAGGCTTTTGGAAGCACACAAGAGATATGATTAACAAACGAAAGATTAGAGTCTACGCCAAGTCAACAAACTCTTTCATGGAGGCCAAGCGAGTGCTACAGATATTGTAATTAGAAAAACTAATGTTTGAAGATTTTGAGGACATATGAAAGCACTTATTAACATTTAAGTAAAGCTTATTGGTATGATACCAACTGACGAGGTTACTCAGGTCGTGCTGCAGAAAAGAAACATCCGACAAGTCATTAACTCTTCAAAAGAGTTTGAGGTTATCTGCATAGCGTAAAAACCTGGAATATTGAAAACAGGAGCTGATGTCATTTAAAAAAAGACGTTGCCACAAAAGAGTGTTTAATAAAGATGTGGTTTACTAGCGAAGCCGTGGCTGGCTTCCATTTACTTCTAGATCCTGAGTATGTAGCTGAAAGCATAGACACGCGGCGGCGTTGATACGGATCATTTCGTTAATTCGTGTTTATCTCGGGAATTAACTGTAGTTGATCCGCATTAAGTTCAGCGGCTAATCTTCAAAATTATGCGGATTTGGGGAATTTTCGATGATGACACTGACCTAACCGGCTAGCTGTTGGTTTTATTTAATTTCATATTATTTATTTTATTATCATTTAACTTAAAATTTTGATGTACAAATTTATTAAAAAAATCCACAAAAACATTAATGAATTAAAAAAAAAAAATTATGAAAATTCTACTGGCAGTGCGACTCGTACCCACGACCTCTCAGCTCGTTAATCCGCATTACTGCTGTCTGTCAGGCTACAATTTTGGTTAAAAATGTCATTTATTGCGATTTCCCTGTTTCGAAAATATCAATGTATAATAAAAATCGGTTTTAGTTATTTATTATGGCATTTAGAATTTATGGCATTTAGAACGACACTTTTTAGATTGGAAAAACGGCAGAAGGAACTAAGCTTGGTTTTTAACGTATTTCATAGTTCACTGCTCCACAATACATTGAATTAAAAGTGACGATGTGTGGCACATATACATACATTTATAGGAAAAAAAGTGATTATAAATAAAGTACAAATTTTAATTTAAAAATCTTGACAAGAATCGCAATATTATGATGCTTTATCGTACAGCCCTACCAAAGTTTTCGTAACTATTTAAGTATTCCAATAGCCCGATAGTCAAACTGTATCTTACATACCAGGCAAATTTTACCAAGAATTGATGGAAAAATATCTGAATTTATAGTTCTTCTTGATTACCTCTCTATTAGCTAAGTGGTTGGTATATCACCGAACGATATCTACTTAATGGGAATACGGGGACAACTTCTACCAAATACAATATGCTTTGCAAAATCTTGATTTCTTTGTTTTTGGGAATATTTTCACTCACATTGGGAAAAGAGTATTGAATGCCCCGTTTTGATAAAGTAAATGACAAGGATGGCGACTTTTTTTATCTACTTTAAAATTAAATAAAGGATGTTAAAGAAATAATTTTGCATATATCAAAAAAGGACTATTTAAAATTTAGGATAAAATAAAGTAGTAGGAAAATAAATAAATCCACAAGACAGCAGCTTAAAAAAGGACGGTCTTTTAAAATAAAGTACGGATGGTCACCGTAGGTACAAGACAATGCTAAAGAAACAGCCAAATAAAAAAAATAACTATCTTAACCAACAACACCGTGCAGCAGTAAATTTTACACGCAAAGAAAATAATATACTGCATTCTTGGTTGTCCTTTCTGACATCAAAATTTTTGTGAAAGGTCTTGAAGTTTCAAAAATATGATTCATTCAAAAAAAAATTTTTTTTTTTAATTCAGTGCAAAATAGGATAACAATATGGAAATCATATAAAAGAGAAAAAAAGAGAAAGAGAAAGAGAAAAAGAAAAAGAAGAAATGAAAAGGACTAAACTTTTAGTAGCAAAAGGGCGAATAGGTATAGAAAATATCTTTTTAAAACTTTATA